GTATTTATTTGTTCTTTTAGAAAGCAGTGTTCTTGATTTAAAATCTGTGTCCACCTAGTCTGAGATAGAGACAAGACCTTGTAAAAATGCTTTCGATTCCGAGACTAGAACTTCACAGAGTGGTCTTGAGACCAAGACTGATTTCGAGGATTACAACACAACGCTCAATCATCGCTTATGGGCCTCCGTACATGTGTGGTGGTGACTGTCTGCAGAGAGCCTGCCCTATGCCTGGATTGTCATGTTTTGCTTTTTTTTTTCCGGTTGAAACGGGACGTGTCTTGGCTAAGAGCTGGTGTGTTTTTACCAGCCAATGACAGCACACTGGTGAGTTAAGGAGTGGATACAATTCAGCGATTGGATGTGATTCAAACTGGCAAATATGACAGACTTCAACATAGTGGCAAAGAAGAGACAATATAATCATAGTGAGGCGAAGCGCCAAGCGGATAAAGCTTGTTCCATAACACAGAGTTGGCCTGATTTCTAATGGACAGGCAGGTGCCAAACACCGATGGTTAGCTTGAGCTAGTGTGCGGTAGCTTACAGTGTAGATATAAGCAGTAAATGTACACACTACGTCCTGCAGTGAGTGTGCGCTTCTGGGTGCGATGAGCCCAGGGGGAGGGGCCCAGTTTGAATGTTGTTGCAATGCAAAAAGGCTACTGACTCTACCTTTAAATAATTATATTGTTTTAGGTGAATTCTGGGCTTTCAAGAACATTATGGTATACAAATTCTGTCTGTTTCTGGACGCTTGTCTTTCTCACTATTTCAGTCATTGAAGCAATTTTGCCATATCACCAGTTCTCCGCAAGTCTTTGTTGACTATAATGATGTCATAAATGATGGCATAAAATTAAGAAATCACAGCTGATAACATTCTTCTGTAGGAGGTTTGCTTTAGGGCTCAAAATAAACCCCCTCTTATTCATTTTGATATTACAGGATGAAACTTTTTCAAACCAACTTTTGCCTCTTTTTTTTTTCTTAAAAGTACCTGACTAGCCTTATATGTTCCTTTCATTCTATTTGTTCGTCTGGATTGTTTTGTTTTTCTACTAATCAGAAATAAAAATTAAGGCCAACAAACCTGACATATCTCAGCCCACTCAGAGTCAGAGTCACGTGTTAGTCACACAGACCGACATAGCTCTCTGCTCTCTGTCTGATTAACTGCAGAGCCAAATATCAATTACAAACCTTCAGCGTGCTGTCAGGCGCATTAAAAGGTGAAAAGTGGCAGCTTTGGAATAAGCAGACATGTCAGGGCTTAAGAGGAAAAAAAATCAATAATTAAAGCCTGTCGCTAAGGGAACAGAAAAAAAAAAAAGCAAGCGAAGAGAGAAATTAGAGATGAAAGAAAGCCACAGGTTAGGCCAGGTTGGAAACCGTTTCATTTTGGCCCATCGTCTCATCTTCAACTTGAAAGTGTGCCTCATCTGTTCTTTTTTTTAATCTCCTCCCACTCTGCCTGTCATGATTTGGTCTGTTTAGTTTAGTTTTTCAGAGTTTAGATGTATGTATCTTGTTTTAGTTCTCATTCTTCCCTGGTGTCTCCCTTGTGTGTTTTCTAGTTTAGTCTTTAGAGTTTCATGTGTTATTTTGTAACTTTGTATCCTAGTGTTTCTTTATGTTCTAGTGTGTTTTGCTACATTCTCCAGTTCTCTGTCTTCAGTGTTTCCTGACTTATTTCATAGTTGTCCTCAGTGTTTCTTGTATTTTATTCTGCCTCTGTGTGTTTCCCTCCACTGTGATTGCCCTCATTGCCTTTACCTGCGTCTGAGTACCCCCGTGTCTATTTAGTCTCTGTGTTTCTTCCCTTCTGTGTCATTGTTCATTGCAGTTTGTCTGTGTTGTTAGTTGTTTCCACGTCAGATGTCAGTTTTTCCTTGTGATACCTCATGATTCCTAGTGTCTCCTTCTTTGACCCTTTTTGGGATTTTTCAGTTTGGACATTTTCATTGTAGGTTTTAGTTGCCTTTTTTTTATATTTATTTTTTGGGCTTTTTGTGCCTTTAACTGAGAGATAGGACAGTTTTAGTTGCCCCTTTAGTTGCCTTTTTGTTTGAATTAAATAGTCTTTTGGTTTCTGCACTTGGTTCCTCCTCTGAGTTATTCCAGTCCATAACAATGCCCACCAAACTCTGAAAAGTAGAGCAGGCAAAAGAAGGAGAGGATGGACTTTTCTCATAAATTGGGGGTTTGTAGACAGACTAGGGACACATATCAGTGCTCAAAAACATTTTCAACTGTATTTTGCATAATATGTGACCTTTAACTAATGGGTTTGATGGTTTTTTTTTCTCTCTCTTTGTTCTCATATTTCTTGAACTTTATCTTCATCTTCTTTCTCTGTAGTCTCTTTCAGAATGTACCTTAAAAAAGGCCTAAGGGCCTTTGCTGCACTTGAGCAATCAATAAATAACGACCCCTGCACTCCACTGTTTTTTTGAACCTACATTATTCCTCATGCAGTTGAGCAGAAGCTCTGCAGCAGAACAGCACAACCTCTTGCTCAAATCAAGGAATGGCCACGCACATATATAATGAATACACATCCATTCTTTTTACCTCACTGAAATCTAATAATTGTTATTTAAGGAAGTGGGTAAAGAGTGAGAAACAGATGAAGTATATAAATAATTAGCACTGTTTGGACTGCAGAATCAGAAATACTTTATTAATCCCAGGGGGGAATTTGTTTGCTACAGTTGCTCATAACACCAAAAATCAGTAGGAAGTATTGCACCCATTCTTGAGAATTGGGGAAAAACCCTTTTTTTCTGTGAATTATTTTTTCTCTTTAATTATGCTAAGAAAATATATTTTAAAAGATCAGAGTCTTGGCTATTAAACCCTGTAATGGGCCAACCTCCAAGTGATTTATTTTTTCCTAAAATACAATTTTTCTGCAGTTGAGGACTTTTGTCAACTCTGTCAGACAAACAAAAAGTCTCATAATTTTAAAATAAAACATCGAGGAAATGTTTAATGTCTATTTTTATGAAAAACAAGAAAATTCAATTAGCTGTATAATCCAAAAGTATTTATTTATTTTTTATTCAACAAATCAATCCATCTTACAAAGGTGATACCCCAATAAAAACCTCTTAGCTTTCTCAGGAAAGGAATATAATAAAGCATCCATCCCTCCCTCCATCCATCCATTGGCTATACCAATGATAAAAGTTGGTGCTGTGACATGTCTGAAATTAAATTAAGTAGTGGTAATATCTATTTTATCTTAAAATACCTAGACTTGCAAGAACATGTCATCGAGCCTTGCACCATCACAGTAATATAAAATAGGTCAAACGTGTACTCAAGCGTTGCACTTGAATACACTTTAAGTTATGCAAAACTTTTACACATGATATGTGGTTATATTAGGGAGTAGAATATTCAACAGATACAAAGAGAGGCTATACACCGTTTCTTTTACTCACTGATAATAAAGTCAGTGAACAAAAAGATCCCTGTGTATAATCACACTGACAGAGTGAGAATTCAAACACTCATTTGGATACACTGAATGCTCAGACAAGGCCAGCTGTAGAGTGCTTCAGTTATATGTATTAAAATGTGATCACCTGAGCTTATCTGTCTTGACCAGACAACTGTAAGTCCAACTGTTAGAGCGCATGTTTTACTAAGTCAATAACATGGACTCAACCTCCTTTGTTTCATCTTCAGGGGAAAGGTATCAGTGAAAACACTTTGAAGAAGAGAGATGGCAGTCAGAAAATTCAAACAGTGACATTTCACTGACACCAAAGAAACACATAATATGAAATGATGACGTCAATGATGATGTGACATTAATATAGACCTTTAACAATGCCGTAGGTGCACATTGTAGAGTATCTCACTTTCGTCTTTTATATCTAAGACCAATAATTATGTATGCATTAAGAGTGCAGTATTCAGTATATTTATATTTATATAACATGCATATTTTACATGAACTTTATACTTTACAATAATCTGCTCGACAGTGAGTTATATGCATGATTACCCTGCTGCTGCTATTAATTCATTTATCCATTATTCATTCCCTCATTTAGCTTTTTGTAGTCAGTCACTGTTTTATCTATTTAATAAGACCAAACCTCCGCTGCCAGGGTGCTCACCTGCACCAGCACATCACCCCAAACCTCTTCCACCTCTGCTGGCTCCCAATTATATCCCGAATCAAGTACAAAATACCCCTCCTCACTTTTTAATATCTCCATAACCTCACCCCTCAGTACCCCTCTAAACTCCTATGGCCACACACCACATCCCTGAAACCTCCGGTCCTCAGACACTGGCCCGCTGTCCATTCCACAGACCAGACTCAGCACCTATGAAGACAGGGCCTTCAGTGTCACAGCCCACCCCACCACCACCACCACCCTACCCTTTGGAACAACCTTCCCTCAGACATCCACGATGCCCCATCTTTGAACATATTCTAAAAACTTCTCAAACACAATCTTTTCTCCACAGCTAACACACTCCCTTCACTCTGCCTCTCCGTCGGTCTCTCATCCTTTTGCTACCAGTCTCTGTTTTGTTTTTGTTTTTTGTACAAGTTCTCTTTATTCTCTTTTCCAACATTCAAAGAACACTTTGGTGAGTTTAGTACAAAGCTTTGGATTAGTTTGCAGTGGATAAAGAATGTTTATTCTCTCATTAAAGGTCAGATTGTAATACTGAGGATGTTGTTCAGGTATTAAAAGTAGTTATTTTGACTTTAAGTATTAAGGATGTGGACTTTCAATCCAAAAGTCTCCAACAGCATGAACATTTGAACCTTTAATTTTTTGGTGACAGAGCCCTACACACAGTACATGTTCATGTTTCTGTTTATCAGAATGGTTAGTGGCGGGATAAGGGGAGGAAGGCTTGAGGATTTGCACAGGTGCAGAGCTTCTAGCCAATGGGGTTGTACTGATAAACCATCTTGGTGTTGATTGGTGGATGGAGGTCCAACAGGACAGTGTGAAAACATTTAAAATGCATCACTGTTACACCAGGAGAACAGTCACGCAGAGATGGGTGATATGAAGTGTCTCCTCCTTTTGCTGTGTGCAGGTGAGTAGCCAATTTTATCTTTACATGTCTGCTGCTTACTTTTGAAGTTTCATCCTTTGAGGTAGAATTAACTGAATCCTACAGAAATTCAAGGGATGCAGATCAGCACCCCTCACTTAAGACGTACAATTATTCAAAATGAAAGCCTAACTAAAACTGTTTTTGTATGAAAAATAACAAAATAAATAGTCATAATAATAAAACATATATATCAATAATTTTACAGCTCTATTATCAACCATTAATATCCATCAAAGTAACCCCAGACCAGAGGCTACTAATCTGAATGTTTTGTAGACCAGGGGAACTAGATGGGCAGAGATGGCTGCTGGGTAACTGAGTGAGAGAGAGAGAAGAGGTTAAACAGGTTAAAGAAAAGATTCAGAGACAGTTTTAGATATTGCTGTGAATTATCTGTTAAACTAGTATGGCCATATAGCAGAAATAATACCTAACAGAGCATTGACACATCCATCAGCTTTGACCTGTTAACGCTTGATGTTGGGTAATATCAGCAGGAGATTTTAATATGTTGAACATTTATTTCCAGATGCAATGCAGGTCATAAAGTAAGACGTGATGTTGAGAACTTGTGGCCAAATGAAGGACAAAGAGATGATTAGCACTGTTGTAGTTCAACATCTGTAGCTCTTTAGTTATGTACTAATGAAAAGTGTTCAATGAAAATAATAAAAAATGAAACAAAATAAGCTGTCATTCTGGGGTGATCCAAAGGAATACGTCACAACACAAAGTCAATGAACAATTTGTTTGAGTGAAAAATGTTTTCTGTCCAACAACTGTTGTTCCAACTCCCAGTCACCTGGTGGAGGACTTTCTCTTTCAGGTGTCACCGTGAGCTCAGATGTGGATCTGCAGAAGAGAGTTGTTCGTGGTCGTCCATGTGGAAATACAGAGCGCGGGTACCATGTCAGGTTAAGAGCATCTGATGGGATCCGTAGCTCCTTATGTGGTGGCTCTCTGATCAGTGACAGCTATATTCTGACTGCAGCTCACTGCTGGAAGGATAGGTGGTAAGAAACTGATGGTTTGATTTTAAAGTTACATTACATTTGTCACAAAAACAAATTGAGATGAAAGACTTCTGTTAATACAATATATCTACAGTAATAGTCAATGTTGACCTTTTTTCTTTTTTAGGGAGATGACTGCATATTTAGGAGTGCATCCAGGTCCACCAGTTCCACTACGAGGAGTGAGAATCACACAACACCATATCTACAATGACATCAATGGACCTCATGACATCATGCTGCTGAAGTTACCAACACCCACTCATATTACATATATAGCACTTCCTAGCGACCTGGAATGTAGGAATCCTTTTGTGTGAGTTGTGATCTTTCCTCTTCAATTTAAATCTAGAGAAACTTGAAGCAACAATAACAAACCAAAACAATGTAAAATAAACAATTTCTTTATGTTTTCTTTACATTATATTTCAGAAAACCTGTTCGGGTTGCCGGTTATGGAGCTACAACTGTGTTTCCCAATGGGACAATAGGTTAAAATAAATCTTATTTAAATCTTATGATCAATTATGTATTCATAAATGACTGCACAGTTTAGTTTAAAGACGTCTAAATATTTTATTTTAACATGAAAATGATTACATCAATATGTGAAACTGAATTTTACCACTCTTTGTAAACCCAGCTAATTCATGCTCAGGTTAGTCGGAGATCATTTTTAGTAAAGAAGAAAAAAACTCAAGTTAAAAGTAAGTTTGACGCTGAATAGAAATTGGACTGATGTTTGGGTTAAGGGATGTAAAAGTTAAAAAAAAGTTTTGTTTGTGTGATGATTCGTATTCTCAACAATTTAAACAATAAAGGATGTTTTTTGTCTCTGTAGTGAATACTTTCTTCCCATCCTCATCTAGGAAATGATAGACCAACAGAACTCCACTGTGGTGACATGAAAGTCGTCAAATGTCAGTGGAATAAAAAATGTCAGCGCAGAAACCCTGACCCCTTCACTCAGTCCTTGGCCTATCAACACTTACTTTGTGGACAATCTAAAACTGTGGATATTGCTCCAGTGAGTCTGAAGGGCTTCTTATCTTACACATTTCCGACAGTCAACACGATTTACCATTTAATACGGTTGAAGTTTTTCAATATAACATTTTTTAATTCTGTAACTATTCATATCTGTCTCACAGGGTGACTCTGGTGGAGGAGTCGTGAAAAAATGCAGGATTTACGGGGTCATTTCTAACGGTGTTAATGTTGCCTGTGCTGAACCAGCTGGATTCATGAACGTCTGTAAATACAAGCCATGGATCAAAGGGATTGTGGGTAAAGATATTTGGAAAAATCTCAGAAAACAGAAATGTCTTTTTCCTTAAGAGGCATTCACAATCATTTAATAAAGTAGTGAGTCACTTCACATGTTCAAAAGATAAATGTACTACTGTTTTCTTTATTGTTGATCCTGATTTAATTAAAGATTATTTGAAAACATTCAAAATAATACTAAAGCATTACTTCAAAGATCTTGAGGTATAGTCAAGTTGTATTGTTATCAGAAGAAATAAGATGAACAATTTTACATTTTCAAATTAATCAAAATTGATATTTGTTTATATTTGTCAGTTCGTCTGGAGAAAAACAAACAAATGTAAAACATGATACATGATCAATGATGATGTGTGATAAGATAAAATATGAATACTCAGACTTGTGAAAATAAAAATATGACTCACAATCACGCTGTCATTGTACTTTTTCTTTGGAGACTTTTGTATGAATGTATGTATGTATTTTTTGATCAGCTCCACCTTCTTTTCCCTCTTCCCCCGTCCTTAAAAAAATACACTAAAATATCCATAAATTTATTAGACTTCTGCTAAAATGATGCGAGCCATATCATTTTCTAACTCCTAATAACCTCTCTGTAAAAAGTCTGCTCACTTTGCCCCTATTTCAGTTCGTCTGTCTCCCTCTTCATGATGTTATGTTAGTTTTGAAAGTTTAGTTTTTTTCCAACGTGAATTCATTTTCACAGCACAGGAACTGGAGCAAGAAGCTTCCATGATTTGACTAAATGATCGATAAACAACATGGGTTTGAGTGACACTGGAACGTTTTACAAGCTCTAGAAACAGCAGGAGGAGTAGATTTATATTAAACACAAAATATTGCACATCAATAGATGTTAATCAAAGTTTGAACGGACCTCAACATGTGTCCTGTGTGTGTGTGTGTGCGTGAGTGTGTTTCTCTGATGGAGGGTATACTATGTGCGAGGACTTCCTTGTAAATGTAATGCCAAAAAAGAATCTACACCAGGCGTCACTTGAATTGTAAAGTTTCTTTTTACAGTATTACTTTTAACTGTTTCCTCTTTTAAAGTGGTCTCTTAGTTTTTTCAGCTTGTTATCACCTCCCCTAGTCCAAATCTCACTGAAGTCATTCAGAGAGCAAACGGTAGGGCTCAGGACAGCAACATAAGTCCCTCTTCTCACAAGGCAAACAGCCAATCATAGATCAGGATTTTACTTTTGTTCAGAATTGTAGGCTGGCCCTGGCCACCACCTCTGAAAATAACCCATGATGTTTGTTTTGTCGTGACTCTTCCTTCTTCGGCTTAACTAAAATATTTGATTATTTGCAATTGGGATCATAAATTCATCTATTTCTACAAGATTCCCTTGAAAGTTGACATATTATGAAAAATCCACTTTTACAGTGTTTGTGAACATATATTTGGGTAACCTGAGTGTCTGCCGACCAACAGATTGATAACCAGTTCTTTAGAGTTGATAGACTAACAGCAGTATTCAGTTAGCTAAAGTCTCTCAGAGCTGCTAGTCTTACATTTCAACCCAGATGGTAAACTCTTGTGATCTGCAAGTTGATTAAGTTTGATGTACTAAATCTTTAAGCTCATGTGAATTGTTTTTAAGTTGATTTTGAAACAGACTGAAATTAATTTTGATCTTTATCACCTAAAAAAGCCAGAAAGACCATCAGCAACCCAATTTCTAATGTCTAGATAGCAATTTGTAAAGCTTGTGTAGCGTTTACATACGATTAGTTATAGACCTGACCATGACTTTCCTTGTAGTAATAATTGGGGCACCAGTCAATATAGGTTATTGACAACGATGTGATTCTAGATAAGCACAAATAAAGAACTGGTTATCAATCTCAATTTCTGGAGCCAGAACGTTTTCTCTTGTGTGCCTTTCCATAGCAACTAACCTTGATGAGGTATACAAAGAAAGCAGGATTTTATTTTTCTGTCAGTAAACACTTCATGTTAAAAGCTAAATCATCAAAGAGAGAATACTTTTGTCCACAGGGGGCGCCATAATCAGTGCAACCCCAAAAGTTCCTCACAGGAGGTTTAACTCTAAAGGCTGCTGATTAAAGGAGCTTCGGGAGTAGATGTCATAATGATATAGTGGCTCAGTTATAAACCTCTGATCATTTAAAGAAAATATATTTTCAGTGTAGCAGGATGAAAATAAATCAGCTGCATAATAACAAGTAAGATATCCTAATAAAGGCTCCCTCTGATACGAGTGAGGAATAATAAACCTACTTTTGGAGTAACAAGCTCACATCACATGAAATGACTTCACAGGAAGCTCAGAGTTCTCTTGACTTCCTTTTCATTATCCTTCCCCTGTCATGCTCTCCATCTTCTTCCATCTTTGAGTCAGTAGCTGCTCTCACACACTCTGCCTCCACACACACACACACACACACACACACACACACACACACACACACACACACACACACACACACACACACACACACACACACACACACACACACACACACACACACACACACACACACACACACACACACACTGGCAGAAAAGCACATCTACCCACTTTGTCCATCTGCAGGATGTTGAGGATTCTCTGGCACACTCTCTCAGCCTTTATCTGTGCTATTTCTAGAGGAAGAGCAGTAAGTGAAGTTTTGTAAGAGATGATACAAAAGCTTCCTTCTCAAGGGAGGAGAGGCAGAGAGGAGCTGAGGAAAGAGTTTGTAAAATATGCCGCTGACTATTCATCTCCCCCTCTTTCCAGCACTCTTCACTCCCTCTCAGACTCTATCCAGGCTCCTTGAGACGCAGCTTCATGTGCTTGGACAAAAATAATTGTCACTGTATTTAATAATGCAGGTACCCTCCACCAATTCATCCATTCCTCTTCTCTTTATTTCTTTCAGGACTTTTGAAACGCCAGATCCGCTCCAGAACATTTGCCGTGAGTAACACCTGAAACGTCATCATGAATGCGTTTGTGTTTTGATCCTACTTTTCAAGTCTGAAATAAGCCTGTAGTGATCCAACTACTAGGCAGTGTGTTACTGTTTGTGTGTGCATCTCCTGCACTTAGCATTTGTCATGTTTTTGCAAGGAATATCAGAGAGAACTCCCATAATTCCCCACTAGCCTCAACGTCATCTTTTGTTATTGAAGTATTGATTGAGAGCCCCCTGGCGTCGGAATCTACATACTGTATCTTTAAGAAACATGTAGATGTGTTAGTAAGTCATGTATAAAACAGCGTTACTCTAGGGCCAAGATTTATGGTTAACCTTCCCACCTTCAGAAATACAAGTACAAAATCTTCCACAGAAAAGAAAACAATTTAAAATACCAACATGATATTGTGTTCATATCTGTTTTATCCCATTGTCATGTCCTTTCGATTGATGTGGCCTTTTAACTGTGACATCTCTATAAACTCAGTAATAGCAGCTGATAATACAGCTTATTTCCAGATCTCTCTTCGCCCCCAAATTGACACTCAACAATTTGGGTGTCTGAAATGTCAACACCGTTGTTTCCCAGTAGTGCCATTGACAGCTGTGTCTATGACTGTGTATGTGTGTCAGTATGTGTGCACATATGATGATGGCTGACCACAGTGCATCTGCTTGACTGCTCCATTTGATTGCTCACTCCAGTATCACTCCGGGAAATGTTAATGGAGGGCAGTTAACGTCAGAAACATTCAACCACCATCTGTACGCGACCCACCATCACTCTGATGGAGAGAGGGATAGAAAAGGTGAAAGAAAACGGGAAAGAAACGTCCACTTCTGTATGGATTTGGTCAATGTAATTGCATTTTCTTTGTGCTTAAACGTATTTATCTGTGTGTGTGTGTGTGTGTGTGTGTGTGTGTGTGTGTGTGTGTGTGTCTTTGTGACTGAAGTGTCCACTGATGTGTAAAGCGCTTACGTCTCTGTACGAGGAGGGTGTGAAGCGGACAGACAGTCAGGTACATCTTGTCGAATGGCCCATCTAGCACTTTGGCTACCGTTGTTCTGTCACGGTTACGGTTATCTCCCGCGCTCTCTCTCTTGCACACTCACACACACACACACACACACTCACACAAACACACCAACACTGCCCGCTCTGTCGCCTCCCTGACCAGAGATTGCTGTGTGCTGCTGCTCACATCCAGTAAAGCACTGGGCCGTATACAAACACACACACACACAAAAACACCCCCCACACACACAGTGATTTATGGCCTCCAATACAGTCAATAAGAGCCATGGCCAAGATGAAGGACTTGCTAGCAGGACACACACACACACACACCGCACACACACGCACACACGCACGCACACACACACACACACACACACGCACACACAAAAACACACTGTTGTCCATTAGTTAAGTGTACTGGAGTGAGCTACTTGGCTCTCTTTATTACATTCCTGTTTGAAGCCACTGCTGCTTCATGTTTAAAACCAAATGTGTATGCCACCTGTGTTCAGGGTGTGAGACCACATGTGGATGGGTTTGTGATTGCCAAGAAGCCCCCAGTTTGAGTACCAGTACCAATCTAAAATGTTATATTCCAATGCATCATAGTCCCTATAGTATATTGCGCCAGAAGGAACAACATTTAATGGAAAGTATGCTCAAATTCATGTAGCTTAGTCTCTACAGTGGGCGCGATGTAACCTTTCGTCAGGAGGCTTAAAACTCGCCTCAGTTCCAGCTCTCAGCCTGTCCTTTGTTGACTGAAAGTTAGGGTGAGACAGGATTTCCATCAATGAACCTCAAGAGTTTTTACAGTCTATGGGTTAATCACTAAATACATGCAAAGTTAATATTATCTCATAAATATTATACAAATATGCCCTGACATGCAGATGATTAAACAAATACAAACACCCTAACTTGAAATGACAGCCCCTTTTTCAACATTAACATAACTGGATTACTGAGTTTTACCTACGTCTCCTTCTGTCCTCTTTGATAATCTTTCTTTTTCACACTTTCCTTCTTCTTTGTATTCATTTCCATTTCTCCTCCCACCTCCCATCACTGACTTCTGTTTGCCTAATAAACACAGCAGTATCTCTTAGCTCGGAAATAAAATAGTCTCTATTTTAGAGCAACACAAGCTGTGCTTTCACATAAAACAACGGTCAATTAGAGTTAAGATGCTGAGCCTCGTCCGGGGCCATAAAACATGGATAACAATGAGAAGACTGAAGAAAAGAAGCCAACGCACTTAAACTCATCATCTGCCAACAGCAGCGCAGAAGAATATGGTTTTGTATCTCACTGTTCAGTTAAATAAAAGCATGAAGGGGTTTAACGTTGGCCTATAGACCTGGATAGCCTTGACTAAAATCCAAAATCTGGCTTCAGTCACGTATAATCTCTTCTTTTAACTTGTTTTCCCTTTTTTTTTTGTTGTTGCTGTG